AACTCATTGGGGGACAAAATCTGCCCTCTACTAGTCAGCCTTATCTTCTTAGGTCTTGGTGAGGAGATGGGGAGGCGGAACCTCCCTACTGGGAAGATAAGTGACCCAGAGACAGGACTCAAGAATTTTGCCCTAAAATACATGCTAAGCGTAAAATGAGTTTTTAACATTTAACCCCTCTCATTTCTGAGGATTCACATAACTAATCAAACCACTGACTGAGTTTTGGTCAGCTCAGAGCATTCACACTGTGTGTGTGGGGGGGGGGGCAAGAGGAGATGATAATTATCAGAATTCCTATCTAGAAAGACACAGGACTGCAAGAAGGAATTCCTTAGTGAGCCCCTTAGAGTGGTAGCTAAAGGCTCAGGCTTTGGAGCTGGCTTATCCCAAGACTTGAAAGATGGGGGCAGAGGGCGGGGAACAGGAAACACTGTTTGCCTATGGCAAGGAAAGATGTTTTGTTTGCTACTGTCAGGGAAAGGAAGAAAGAACAAAGCTGGAAAAGAGGGAGAAAGAATCCATCAGATGTCTGGATGTCTGTAAGCATTAAGAAGCAAAACAAGCCCGAAGCTTTCAGTGGACACTCTAGGTTACTGGAAGGAATGACCTATTGGCATACAAGGGAAAGCATCATCAGACATGGGGGTCAAGCATGGAAAGAGCTTGGTCTCAGCCTAGGGTGTCGCCTGGACTTGGAAGGACCACAGGCATGTATAAGAAAGGCTAAGATGAAATCTTCTGGATGCCAAAGACAAGAAGCCTTCCCTAACTGCAGAGGTCTGGTCTAAAAAGCCACAGGACTCATGGGTTCCAAACTCCATGTCATATGTTGATTCTCTCTCGTGTGGTCACAACTTTAGCCCAGGGTCATTTTATAGCTATCCTTCCCTGGCTTGCTGTAACACGTTTCGTCCCCTTCAGTAGTAGTGTGATTATTCATACAGTTGAAAAGCAGCTCTATAGCCAGGGTCCCAGGGACCTCATCTGGTCTTAACTTACTGAGTGAGCTGGGAATATCAAATTGTGAAATGATGCCGGCGAGGATGGAAAGGGTAAATTCATCATCCATCAGGCTAAAATTCTATGAGCCTTGGGCTGGAGAGAGAGCTCAGTAAGTAAGGTACCTGTTATGGAATCTTCAGCACCCAATTAAAAGCTGGGGATGGTGGCATGCAGCTGTGACCCCCGTGCTTGGGTGGGACAGGGACAAGTGGATCCTGGAGTTCATTGCCCAGTCGGCCTAGCTGAAATGATGAGTTCCAGTTCACTGAGAGACTGTGCTTCACAAACTAAACTGGAGAGAGATTGAGAAAGACACTGAGTATCAACTTCTGGCCCTGCCCTGTGCACAGCCCCCTGGAAGACTTACACCACACACACAAAATTCTATGAATCATGTAGAATCCATTGTTCAGGCCTTTCCTTTTCTGCTTGTTATGACAAAATACTGTTGACTATCGGGATTTAAAAATCAGGGTGTTTTTTTTTTTTAATTATAGAAATGACTCTCTTAAGACCCATTTCTCTATTTAAAATGTACAGTGTTTAATATACACTGGTTTTTCTAGTGGTAAGTTCTTGTTTAAGGCTAGCAAGAACTGTATGGTTGCCGGACAGTGGTGGCGCATGCCTTTAATCCCAGCACTCGGGAGGCAGAGGCAGGCGGGTCTCCGTGAGTTCGAGGCCAGCCTGGGCTACCAAGTGAGTTCCAGGAAAGGCAGAAAGCTACACAGAGAAACCCTGTCTTGGAAAAAAAAAGAACTGTGTAGCTGGTGTTAATTTTATACATGCTCATTTAGTTCTCTGATTTTCCCCTTTTATTTATTTTTTTTACCCCTCTCTTCTGGGTGTTCTCTTATTTGTGTTGACCTCTCATGGTAAACTTTAGTCAACCACACATCAGAACAAAATGACCCCCATCTCTGTACCCTTCTAAAAACATGAGGAAAGAACAAGTGAATACATAGTGGGTGTTTTTCAGTTGTATTAAAATTGTGTGTCAAATCAAACGTTTTAAACTGCTGCTCTGTATTATGGAGTCTTGGCTTTGCTTACGTGGGGGAGGGGGAGCAAAACCTTAGTGGTTTATGCAATAAAAGTTGATTGGTTTATTATTTTTTTTCTATTCCACAACAAAGTTGGCTTCAGGCTGGGGTAGGTGTTTGGAGAACACTGCTTCTCTTTCTCATGGCCACCCAGGCTAAGGAAACTGCTGTGTCTGACCACTGTGCCTTCTGTTTTAACTTTCTGTTTTCAACAGTCTACCGAGGTTGCCTGCTTTTGTCACATGGCATCGTACAAGACCCATGAGCAATAGATTTCTTTCTCTGTTTGTTTTCATCAGGAAAAATTTGAGGGACTGTTCCGGACTTACGATGAATGTGTGACGTTCCAGCTGTTTAAGAGTTTCCGACGTGTCCGAATAAATTTCAGCCACCCCAAATCTGCAGCCCGTGCTCGGATAGAACTTCATGAGACCCAGTTCCGAGGGAAGAAGCTAAAACTCTACTTCGCACAGGTAACTTTTTGCCTTGCTCTTCTGGCCCAGAGGCTTAGAGCATTTGTTGCATTTGCAGAGAAACCAGATTTGATTCTCAGCACCTGCACAGAGGTTCACAAGCATCAGATGCCTTCTTCTGACCCCTTGGGGTACCAGGTGTACATGTGGTGCACATGCATAAATGTGGGCCAAACATTCATGTACATAAACTAGACATTTAAAGTGTCATTGTTAATTTAAAAATCAATAAATTAAAATATAAATGGGGATCTGGAGAGATAGTTCAGCAATTAAAAGCACTGGCTATTCTTCCAGAGGACTAGGGTTTAATTCCGAGCACTGTCTGTAACCCCAGTTCCTGGGGAATCCAATGCCTTCTTCTGGCCGCAGGCATGAATTGGCTTGCTGTTATAATTAGCTCACTAAGAAAGAAATTCAGTGGTTGTGTAAGACCTGCGCAAGATAAGTCAGTCAACATTCCAGCATGGAGGGTGAGGGGGACCATGAGGTGGGGGACCCCACCTCCAGTTAAGGGGCTTTTGACAGTTGATGGCTGCTAGAAGAGGAGGAAGCAGTTCCCTTGGGGGTGTGGCCTCTGGAAGGTTGACCATGTTCCGGTGGATGGTCCCATGTGCATGGACAGCGTCTATGGAGGACACAAATTAGACTCAGGGGATATAAAAACATAAAGAACATGAGGCTGGAAGGGTAAAGGAGTGGCAGCAAACATGATCAAAATGCATTTATACATGTGTGAGATCCTCAAAGAGTTACGGTTTTTAAAACAGGAAAAGAACTAGGCACAGCTCGTGAGTCACAGATAGAGCGGTGTCTGTGTCTGAGCATAGGGCTCTAAGAGCTGCCACGCTGAGCTCTAATCAGGACAAGTCACAGAACCTCGGAGTCCTCATCTTTAAGACGTAATGATGACATCATCAACCTGTACCGCTTTCATGATGATGACATGGAAGACTGTGTGTAGCATTGCCAGGATTCTGGTAAAGGCACAATAAATTCTAGCTAGGAGCTATAATAAAACGATCCCACCACAGTGACTCTTAACCTTCCTAAAAAGGGTTATGATTAAAATTTAAATTAAGTAGATTTAATGGTCTACTAAAACTATCTAATGATTCAGATTTATGACAAAGAGTTATAAATCTATGAAAATAAATTTTATGCTTTGCAAAACCAAATGCTCACTATTCTAAACAGGGATGGGTAGTTCTTGGGGATGTTCATAAGGTCCACAACACTAGGCAGTCAGTATCCATTATCTCCATCAAGGCCTCATCCATCACTAGGCAACAACCACCTCTCAAATGACCTGTGAGTGGGATTCCAACTTTGGACCACACAAACATGGCACAGAGGAAAGATCCCAGGTGTTAGCCGCAGACTCTTGCAAAAATCCCACATCTCTTACAAATTTGTGTAGCTAGGACAAATCTCAGATCATCATTTATTAAAACCTGCATCAGAATCGGTTGTGATGGTGTATGCCTGTAATCTCAGTGTACTACAGCCTGCAGGAGGAAGACCTTGCATTCAAGGCCAGCCTGAGCTACACAGAGCTCAAAACCAAAAGACTCTGTGTGTGTGTATATGTATGTGTGTGTGTGTGTATGCATGCATGCAGTATATGGCAGATAGATAGATTAGGTTGATTAAAAGATATTGAGTTATGATGTGACTCAGCAATACTCTTCTAGGCACTAAAACTAGGGAACGCAAACAAATACTTAGGCAACAATATTCATAGCAACACTGTTCACAATATGTTAAAAGTGAGAACAACCTAAAGTTATTCAATAGATAAGGGATGGGGAGACTGTGGTATATTCATACAAAGGAATATTATTCAGCTGTAAAAAGAAATATTGATAATCCATCACCAAATAATGAGCCTTTAAAATGTGATAGGGAGCTAGACACAAAAGCTCACTTGTTCTGTGGTTCCATTCTCATAAAACAGTTAGGTAAGTCCACCGAAGTAGACACAGCTTGGCCACCATCAGGGGGTAGTAGGAAACTGGAGTGGTAGTCTTTATTTAAGGGGTGCATAGTTATCCTTAGGGCGATGGGAAGTGTTAGGCAGTGGTTCTCAATCTTCCTAATGCTGTGACCCTATAATACAGTTCCTTGTGTTGTGGTGACCCCCCCAACCATACAATGATTTCCGTTGCTACTTCATAACTGTAATTTTACTACTGTTATGAATTATGATGTAGATATCTGTATTTTCTGATGGTCATAAGTGACCCCTGTGAAGGGTCACTCGACCCTCAAAAGGGGTTGCAAGCCACAGGTTGAAACCACTGGGTTAGGAGCTCGGTAGAGCTGCAGCAGTGTGCAATTGAAACAAACAAAAAATAAAACCAGAAAATGGGTGGTGGGGGCAGAAGGTACCTGAGGAAGAACATCACGGACACACCCACACGTGCCTACAGCATAATGCGGGGGCAGGGCTCAGCAATGTGTTTAGGAGGCCCTCAGGGTGACCCTGGTGCTTATCAAAAAGACAGAAACTGCTGTTCTGAGTACTGAGTCAGAAAATGGGCGCATGGCGTGACTGCCACTGAAGTCTGGCCGCTGGTGAAGCCCTGCCCAGCTAAAGGCGTGGGAAAATCATGTGTCCCATTCTCCTCTGTTTGAAAGGTCCAGACCCCCGAGACAGATGGAGACAAACTGCACTTGGCACCTCCACAGCCTGCCAAACAGTTCCTCATCTCGCCCCCTTCATCTCCTCCGGTTGGCTGGAAGCCTATCAGTGATGCCACACCGGTCCTCAACTATGACCTCCTTTACGCCGTGGCCAAACTAGGACCAGGTAAGTTCTCGGCCCTTCTTACGAGTAAGCCTCCTCTGTCAGCAGCCTAGAAGTGCCAAACAAGAGGAACAAGCTGGAACGCAGAGGTTTCCCATCACACCTGCATTCCTAATGGAGTCCTCGCTCCCTGTGGACAGCGGGAGGGAGGGAGGGATGATGGATGAGATGCAGTGCCCAGCTCTGCACCTTCTGCAGAGCAACACAGGGCCCTGCACTGAGAAGAGTTGGCTTCCGAGTTGCAATGCAGGACTTTAATGCAGAGGCCATGACCCGATGCTGGGGTCTCTCTGTGCATCCTGAGGTCTGCAGAGAAAGATGTTCTCTCAGCTGGCAAGAGGCTCCCGTGCTGCCTTACCGGTTTTATTACTGCTACAGATATTAGGATGCACCCTGGAATCCCTATGAGACAGCCTCCTTGTCAAAATGAAGACTCCTAAGTCCTGAAAGGAGTCAATGATAGTAGCCTCATCACACACACACACACACACACACACACACACACACACACACACACACACACTCACTCACTCACTTTGGTCCAATGTCGGGACATTTTAGCTTATTTGTTCTTTCCAGTTACAGGTATTTATTGCCGTACTTTATTTTCCCACTCCTCTGTGGATGGATGTCTGAATTATTCCCAAGTTTTTGCATTACCTTCAAAGCGACTGTTAGCATTCTTGCACATACCTCTTTCTGTACTTGTCTGATGTTATTTCAGATTTTACACCCAGTGGTGATACCATCTCCAGTTTCAGTCGGTGATGCTTCTTTCTAGTCCAAATGACTTTTCCTTGTCTTCTACGAGGAGAGGAAAGGAGGGAGTGGGAGGGGCTAAAACTAGCACTGTAGCAGCCACGCAGGAGGACAATGGCCTTGCAGTCCTCTCTTTGTGCTGGTGGTTCTTCTAGGGTGACTGTGGACTTTAAAAACAGAACCCCAATTAAGTGACTCCACCCTAAGTGAGGTAAAGTCCAGAAATCTCCCAATTCTAACCTACAGGTGAGTTTAAGAGCCACTGGCACCTAAATGCCAACTTCTAGGAATAGTGACGTTACAATAAAATCTTCCCAGTATTCCTTACTCAGTCCTGGAAATGTTTGATCCAGAGTCACCCATTCCAGAAACCCAGATTCTCATATACACCATACTTTGTGAGCCATGGGAAGAAGTAGAGCGAAAAATGGTCCTCGTTTGCCAAGAATGGAAGGAATCCTGGGATATGGGACGTCTGTGCTAAAACCAGGAAATTCCCAAGAAGAAATGATCACACTACTTTCTGTGTTCTCAGATGAAGATGGGGGCTGATGTGATTAATGAGCATTCTCCGTGAGAGAATGACTGTCTGTTGAGTATGGGGCCTGCCTCAGAAGAAAGCCTCCCCTGGTGGACCAGTGAGCCACTTGACCTTTGGGGGTCTTAGAAATGACCGTGATTCTACCCTTAGAGAGCCATTGTGAGAAGCAGTAGGTGTGTGGGGGGGGGCGCTGGTGAACAGAGTGATGGCATCTATGAGTGCCTGCTTCACTCACTGGAGGCCTGGATCAAGGAGAATCATGGCTGCGGAGAGCGCAGCAGTGTAATGCCATATGCAAAGTCAGTCTGCTCAAGTCAAGCCTTGGAAAGCTATTAGCCACCACAGCAGGAACTCTCTACAGCCCAAGGGGCCCTGTGGGGTGCCAGCTTGACTCGGCTGTGAACAGGCACCGGAGTGAACATGTTGGATAATTGTTCTGCATATCAACAAATAGATCTTCCTGTAGAATCACCAAGACCCTGGCTGGCTGACCTGCATTTTACAGGACTGGAGACTGAGGCCCCAGGGTGAGAGCATAAATTGCTGAGAACACACCCAGGTAATTCCAAGGCTGTGTTCATCATCCTTCAGTGTGTGTGTGTGTGTGTGTGTGTGTGTGTGTGTGTGTGTGTGTGTGTGTGTGTAGGCCAGAAGTCAAACACTAGTACTGCTCTTCAGGCACCATCTACCTTTTCTGCTTTTGGATTGTTTGTTTGTTTGTTTGTTTGTTTGTTGAGACAGGATCTCACCTGGCCCGGGACTCACCACGTAACTAAGCTGGTTGTCTCGGGGAGGCATCTGTTGACCTCCCCAGCGCTGAGATTACAAGTGTGCTCCACCAGGCCCAGTGTGTTCTGGAGATCAGGTGCTCATGTTTACCTGACAAGCACTTTGCCCTTTCAGCCATATTCCATCCTGGTCTTCACTCTTCACCAAAGCGGCTCCTCGGTATAAAATGTGTTGAGATCACAGCTCAACAGCTCTGTGTTCTACCTCCTTGGACCTAGTAATCCAGGAAAATTCTAGTCACCTTTTGTTTTTATCAAGGACATAAACTTTCATTTGGAGTCAGTGTCAGCAGAGAGTGGGTACAGAGAGGACCTCAAAGATGGAGAGAAGGGACACCTGGAGCAGGGATAAGGCCTTGGAAGGGATACCTGTGGAACCTGCCACAAAGGAGGCAGAGAGGAAATGACCTCAGACAGTCAGGAAAGGAGGGCGGTTCTTGTGAGGGTTGAGCAAAGGTGATTGACAGCATTCAAATGCAGGGCAACCTATGGCCTTCGCCTTCCTGCCTCGCATAAATGTACCGCATACTATTTGTCAAGTGCCCTGGAGCCATAGTCACCCCATGTCACAGACTAGAGGCCTGAGCTGTGGGAAGACAGATGGGCTTCCCCAGGGTGAGGCAGCTGGGTGGTTTCAGAATCTCTTCTGGTTCCAGGGAGTGAAGCTCCACCCCTTGGCCAGATGCTCTTCTGTTATGGAGTATTGCCCACTCTGGGCCTGTTCTGCTTGGGCCCTGGGTAGCTTCTGTTCTAACCCTGAGTTAGTGGTGGGCTTTCACGCCACTCCTGCCTTTCAGAAAGCCTGACCCAGTGTGTGGCCTACACAGAGATGGGAGCCATTCACTGCCATGTGCAATAGCAAATGCCAAGGTCGCCAACATCCAGGGGTTCCTCCTCTGCAAGGAAAACTGGTATTATGTCCTTGGAACATCTGCCACCTGGATGGATTTTTTTTTGGACATTATTATCTGCATCCTTTGCCAGCAGTTTGAGGCTGTTTCTCTTTGCTTCCAGATCCCATGCGGATAAATGACTTGTGTCCAATAATGGGACTGAAAATATCACAGAGGTCATTATTAGAGGCCATTAGCATCACTGTCTGTTGCTGAAACAGAACACCCAAGACTCGATGATTTATAAAAAGAAAGGGGTTTGTTTCGTCTAGTGGTTCTGGAAGCCAGGAAGTCCAAGAACCTAAGGTCAGCACCTGCTCAGTTAATATGTCACCTAGAGGACATGAGGCAGCCAGGTGTGGGAGAGCACACTTTTATTCTCAGGGTTTGGAAGGCAGAAGCAGGGGGATCTCTGTGAGTCTGAGCCAGCCTAGTCTACATAGCAAGTTCCTGGCCTATATTCATTCAGCTCTGTATAGTGAGACCCTGTCTTTAAAACAAAAGCCGACCCACAGAGGATATGAGTTTGTAGCATGCTCTATAACAGCCCACACTGTGGTAGCTAATCCAGGCCTCATGGGAACGAGACTGGCATTAATCCATTCACTGATGCTCAGTTGTTATCCCCCAAACCCTTCCCAACACGGCTGCACTGAGCAAGTGGGGGTCCAATGTGTGAGCTGAAGATGGGCCCTCGAGCTACAGCACAAGCTATTTCAGGCACAAGAAGGAGAGGTCAAGATTACAGTCTCCCTACATCCTTCCCTTACATATGTGTGTGTCCTATCCCCCAACAAGGTGTCAGCAAAGTAGCTAGGTGATGGTAGATAGACAGACAGACAGACAGACAGATAGATGACAGACAGGTAGATGATAGATAAATAGAGAGACAGAAACATACATACATATATACATACATAGACGATAGAGATAGAGAGATGATAGAGAGAGATAGATACATACATGGATGGATGGATGGATGGATGGATGGATGGATGGATGGATGGATGGATGGACAGATGGATGGGTGAGAGACAGACAGACTGACAGAGATAGCAGTTGTTTTCCTTGTAGCACTCCACACAAATGCTCCCTTCTCCTTGTGGGCATTTTCTGTTGTTCAGCTTTGGCTCTTTCCTGATTTTTCAAAGGAACATGTACACTTTATTCACACTGGCATTCTCGGCTCCTGGTTGCATCTGGCACATAGTAGATACTCAATAAATATTGGGTGGCTGAATGCATAAAGACATCGATGCCTCAGATGTTAGCCTGCCTTGAGATAGCATCTTCAGCAGCAAATTGTTGCTTTCTGTGGCTTTAGCCAGACTGAGTCAGAGAGCAGTTAATTAATGTTTGCAATAACAAAAGGACTTCCAGCATTGCCGTTAAAAATGATTTCATAAAGTTCATTTCTTTAATCCTTTGGCAGAACCATTTCAGTGACAAATTATAACTCATTTCATGTTAAAGACAACTACCTGAGCTCCAGGTTATTTTTAATGTAATATTTTTATTAATTCTTTGAGAATTTCATACAGAGTACTTTGATCATGTTCACCCCCACCCCTCTTCATTACTCTTCCCAGACTCTCTCTCTCCCTCCTTTCCTATCCCAACTTTGTATCCGTTTTTTGTTCGTTTTTAATAACCCACAGAGTTCCATTTGGGGCTGTCCATATACTCATGAGTATGTGGCCATCTTCTGCAACATAGTGAGTCTACCAGAATCCACACCCTTAAAGAAAATAGACTCACCCTCCCCCAGAAGCCACCTCATCAGGGTTGGGGGTTCATGAATTGCTTTCCTCTCCATACTAGAATGCTGCACAGCTTGGTCTTGTGAAGGCGGCTCCATCCCCTGTGAGTTCATGAGGGCAGAGGTCACGTAATATCCAGAAGACACCCGTCACCCCATCCTTCCCACCTCTCGCTCTTACAACCTTTCTACCCATTCTTCCCCAGTGATCCCCAGATCCTGGGAAATGGGGCATGTGCCTAGATGTCTCTTGTAGCTGAACA